GGGGGCACAAAGAACTAGCTGAAGTAAGGGCACAGAAAATGTGTAAATTAAGATGTGTGTGTATTTAATAACATACAGCAGGGCTGAAGAGCAGCACAATTGGTTTCATTTTGCTGAAGGGTGATTTAGCTTTCAAAGGTTTGAGAAATTCTGGCCTTTCAGAAGAGAGAAGTTTAAGGACAAGTTCGACAGTCTTCAGAGCATAATGGAAAACCCACCTGCTCCCACCATATTCAAAGAACAGAAAATCTCATGTATGTGTGCACACACAAATAAATTAGGAAGCAAAGTGCCCAAGGACTGGGAAAAAATAAAAAAGGAATTCACAATAAAGTCTGACATTGATAACATGATGCCAATCTTAATTATTGTATTTGGCACTTAGAGGCTATGGTTGATGGGCCTCTTAGAAACAGCACATTTTTCATAATTTTTTGTGAAGGAAGGCTTCCCTGAAAGGGTTTTTTCTCCATCTGCCTTGACACATCACTAGAAGTTTGTATTCACCAGCAGTCCCAAGTAGAATTGTTTAGATGGGGAATGCTTTCCCAGTTTACCACCATTAAATAGTCTCCCAGCTGCAGCTGTTCTGCCATCCTTATCCGTAATAGATATAATATTAATTTCAGTAGTTAAAATATTAAAACAGTAGGCTACATTGTGCCTTCAATTACGCCTGTGAATCTCTACTAATTTCAGTGGAAAGTAGGGGTGTAATAAAGAATTTACCCCGTTGTGAACAATTAAAGAAACTATCACCATCATATGTGAATAGTAAGCTCAGAGTCAGGAATGAGGAAACTGGATGAAATGGAGAACTTACTATTCTGAAGCATTTTTACTATATTTTCCCTACCGTTCTATTGTTGAGAATCTCAGAGAATCGATCCTCCTCCTGAAGCCACTGGGAGTTTTGCCACCGACTTCAATGGGAACAGTAACTGATCCATAACAGAAAGGCTAACTTCAGGACTCTGGAGCAATTATCTTGCACAAACATAGAATGCCCTTACAGCATCGTGCCACTGAGTTAAGCACAAAACTTGCATTTTGGGCCATAAAATTTTGGCATCTTAGTACAGCTCTTCCAACCAATATGTAACAAAAATGTAATGCTTTTGGTGAACATGTCTACAATATATAAAATGGAAACCATTTTAACCTGTTTTGCTAGTAATAAATTAGGACACGCAAACACATAGTGAAATTGTTTTTGAGTACACATTTCAAGGCTGAATTGCAAAGGTTATATATTTGTGGGGAGAGAGCTAGAGGTATCTGGTTAAGATATCTGATGCTATAATACACATTACATACATCTACAAATGTAGGAATATTACTGTGACCCAAAAAACTCTCACTGCCAACTGGCAAGGGAGTTAAAAGAATATCCTGTACATTCTGGCTCATCAAAGAATGTCATATGATGTCTTAATGAAAGCCAGCATCATGCTTGTTGGTCATTATTATCAACGTGAAATGTTTGTACAAATACTACATAAGGAGCTATGTACGTATACCAAAAATGTGTTTTAAAGACTGTATCAAGGCAGAGTTGACAAACAGGTTTTCTAGAAAAGACAAAGGGGGTGATGTCTTTTATTGGACCAACGTCTTTTGGTGAAAGAGACAAGCTTTTGAGCTACATAGAGCTCTTTTTCAGGTCTCTTTCACCAACAGAAGTTGGTCCAGTAAGAGAAATTACCTCACTCACCTTGTCTCTCTAATATCCTGGGACCAACATGACTACAACACTGCAAAAAACATGTTTTGTGTCTGAGGAAAGATGTTTATTCATTTGTCTCTGTCAGCATGTGAATAAAGCATTGTAAGCTAATACAATGGCTACACATCTACATATGAAGTAAACAGGGGGAGATGAAATCAAAAGGGCAGCAGCACAGCACAATGGGAACTATCCTGACTTAGTACAGACAATGAACTTTAGGGATATAAGAAGGCAAAAAGACACCCTTTGATCTTCCAACTGGAAAGTAAACAGGCAGTGTGTTTACATTCATGAAAACTGGATCTCTACCTACCTCCGTGGAAAATGCTGCAAAAGGCTTTAGGTGAGATAAACTTCTTTCGACAGGCAGATAGCTTGTTAAACTAAGTTTAGTCTCTAGAAAGCATGTTATGATTTTTTATGTACAGTAAAAGCTGTTTTATCCGGCATGTTGGGGGAATAGGAGGTGCCGGTAAGTGAAAAATGCTGTTTAACAAAGAGGGAGGGAGTTTGGGTGTGGGAAGGGGCTTGGGGCAGCGGATTGGGGTGCGGGAGGAAGTGCGGAGTGCTGTATTCAGCGGGCACTCATGTCAGGCAGCTCCCCACAAGCGGCGAGCTGTCTGGGCTGTTCCTAGGCGGACGCGCGGCAAGCAGCTTCACACGCTGCCCCGGCCCTGCCCCAAGCATTAGCTCTGCAGCTCCTATTGGCTGGGAACCGTGGCCAATGGGAGCTGCGAGGGCAGCGCCTGCGGGAGGAGGCAGCGCGCAGAGCCACCTGCCACGCCTCTGCCTAGGAGCAGCCCGGACAGGTCACCGCTTGTGGGGAGCTGCCCAAGGTGAACGCCCCCTGAATCCGGCACCCCACACCCCAGCCCGCTGCCCCAAACCCCCTCCTGCACCCAAACTCCCTCCCAGAACCCCTGTTCCACATCCTCTCCCACACCCCAACCCACTGCCAGCCCCATGCCAAACCAACTATAAACCCGGAATTTCAGTAAAGATCAGAAATGTTGGTTTATAGAGATTTCTGGTCGGTGAAGTGCCAGATAAAACAGCTTTTACTTTATTCCGTTATCCTTACTCACTATCTCTTGAATCTTTGATCATTAACTTCTTGTTAAATGATGATCCTGAGTTGAATCATACAAGGTAGTGTGTACACTGTTCCCATAGGGCAGAGGTGGGCAAACTACGGCCCGTGGGCCACATCTGGCCCGCAGGACCGTCCTGCCCGGCCCCTGAGCTCCTGGCCAGGGAGGCTTGCCCCTGGCCACTCCCCCGCTGTCCTCCCTCCCCTGCAGCCATGCTGCTGCACGAGCAGCATGGCTTGCGCCCACCCACCTGCCAGGCTTTCCAACAAGCCTGTCCTGACGCTCTAAGCAGCATGGTAAGGGGTCGTGGGGGGGGGGCAGTCGAATGGGGCAGAGGTTCGGGGAGGGGGGCGGTCAGCAGACAGGGAGTGGGGGGGTTAGATGGGAAGGTCCTGGTGGGGGAAGGGGGAGACAGGGGGGCTGGATAGGGGGTGGGGTCCTGGGGGGAGGCAGTTAGGGACGGGGGTCCTGGGAGAGGGTGATCAGGGGACAAGAAGCGGTGGGGGGGTGGATGGGTCAGGGTAGTCAGGGGACAAGGAGCAGGAGGGTTCTGAGGGGGGCAGTGAGGGGGCGGGAAGTGGAAAGGGGCGGATAGGGGGTGGGGGCCAGGCTGTTTGGGGAGGCACAGCCTTCCCTACCCAGCCCTCCATACCGTTTCACAACCCCGATGTGTCTCTTTAGTATAAAAGAGAAGAAGCTGCTGACAGGGCAGTCTCCGTGAAGGGCCCTCTGATTTTGGCAATTTTGGATTGAGGGAGAGAGTTCCAGAAACTGAATGGTCAGTTTAGATGAGCTATTACCAGCAGGAGAGTGAGTTTGTGTGTGTATGGGGGTGGGGGGGATGTGAGAAAACCTGGATCTATGCAGGAAATAGCCCGACTTGATTATGTAAAGAGTTGTCACTTTGGATGGGCTAGCACCAGCAGGAGAGTGAATTTGTGTGGGGGGGTGGAGGGTGAGAAAACCTGGATTTGTGCTGGAAATGGCCCACCTGTTGATCACTTTAGATAAGCTATTACCAGCAGGACAGTGGGGTGGGAGGAGGTATTGTTTCATGATTTCTGTGTGTATATAAAGTCTGCTGCAGTTTCCACGGTAAACATCTGATGAAGTGAGCTGTAGCTCACGAAAGCTCATGCTCAAATAAATTGGTTAGTCTCTAAGGTGCCACAAGTACTCCTTTTCTTTCTACTGAGGTAAGTGGTTTGTTTCACAGCTCTCAGAGCTTTGTACTAGCCTAACAGAGAGACTACCTCGCTCCCTGTGCCATATTGCCACAGTTGTGATCAGTGTAGGTGCTCAAGCAAGTGTCTCTTTAGTATAAAAGAGAAGAAGCTGCTGACAGGGCAGTCTCCGTGAAGGGCCCTCTGATTTTGGCAATTTTGGATTGAGGGAGAGAGTTCCAGATATGTTGTCCTTCATGGCATACTTACTGCAAGATTCCTTTGGAGAGACCGGGATACAATGAAGGAAGGAGGGTTGGTTTGGCTTTGATGTTTCTGTAGTTGGTTATTCGTTGTTACTATTTTAACTTACGAAGGTGGAGAAGCGGGTTTTAATTTTATTTTGACTGTATTTTTAACTTTTGGTAAAGTCACCTAGAGCTCAGAATAGGTGGTGGTGTTTGAGGGGAATTAATATTTATTATTTTTGTAATAGGTGTTATTTAAAGCTCTCTGTAGATGCCAGCCCACACCTCTGCATTTATGTTTATGTATCTAATGTTATTTTCACAACCACTAGAGCTAAAAACATTTATTTAAAGTAAATAAATAAAAGCCTACATAGTGGTTCACAATTTCATAGCCAGTGAACATGTATGCGTACTAATTTGTTCATTGTGCTTTTATCAGAAAGTCGTATGCTAATTATTTGAAAATTATCAGTTCTGAATATATTTCTGAATTGTTTAGGAGGAAACTCTAAACTTGGGGAGCCAGATCAGTGACCTACCTCAGTAGTGATCCTATATGTAAATCTTTACTTCAAGTCAGAGTCTAATAACAGGGTGGCGATCTATACTACTTTATCTCCTTCCTTAGCATTAAAGTGTATAGTTAATAGTTAGATAGATAGCATATATTCCTATCTATGATATTTATATGGCCCTTATTACCATACTATCCGAGTGCCTCACAACTCCATGTGAGGTAAGGAAATATTATCTCCATTTTTTATAGATTGGGAACTGAGGCCCAGATCCACAGATGTACTCAGAAAGGTAAGTCCCAGTTTTGGGCATCACTGTGATCCACAAAAACCTCACTCAGTTGCCACCTCATCCTGTAGGTGCCTACACTTAGTGGCTACATTTTTGCTATAAAAGTTCTCTGCTCGTCTGAGTTTCTGTCTCTGCCATATTCTAGAAATCCAGATGCCTATCTCCCACTTTAGCTCCAGTGAGATCCACGAACTGGGGGAAGGTAGGCAGAAGAGCGCATATCTCACCTGTGAGACCCAATCTGGTAGATGACCTCTAAGCACGCCTGCCAGGTTGGGTCTCATTCAAAATCTGGGTGGGAATGGTGACCACGTTACCACTTTTAGCCAAGTGGTTAGAACTATTCAGCTGGGATGTAGGAGAGGTACACTCAATTCCCCTCTCTGTCTGAGAGGGAGAAAAGATTTGAACTGTGGTCTCCCACCCTTCAGGAGGGTTCTCTAACCACTTAGCTATGGGATATTCTGATGTGGGGCTCCCTTAATCTCTCCACTTTGGATAAATACCTAGAATCACTGGGCAAAAAGAGAGAGAGAGTGACTCTACAGCTTGGTGGTTAGAGCACCTACCTCGCACCTGGGAAGTGGCAGACCTAGGGTCCAGTCACTCTGCTCCAGTGATTCTATTTATACACAGTGGAACAACTTCAACATGACAGATTAAAGGAGTCCCATATCAGAATTCAAGAACTGGATGTGGTGCAGAACCTGGCCTTCAGATCTGCCTCACACTAGCCAGTGGTCGAGGTAGAGGGAAGACATGAATCCCCTCCCTCCTCAAATAGGCAGCATCTATGCCCAGTATTTGGTGAATTCAGGCAGGGCTGAGGACAACCAAAGGGAGTACTGCAACCATGAATCTCAGGCACTTCCTGTGGCTTGGCAATACTGCCACATGGAAGTAAGTGTTGTGAAGATCCAGGGCACCAAACCAATTATTTCGATCTAGCGAGGAAAGGATTGTCACTAGGATGACCATATGAAATCTCATGTATTTGATATACTTGTTGTGATTCTGAACATTGAGTACAGGTCTCAGAAAGTACCGTGAGTAAAACCCCTTGCCCTGATGTTGAAGGGGGACTTCTTCCATGGCACCTAAAGCAAGTAGAGTCTGAACTTCTTGTGGAAGCAGCAACTCATGAGAGGGCACCTGAAAAGGGATGGGACAGGTGGGCAAGTAGAGGGGATTAAGAAAAAATGGATAGAGTATCCCAATTGCATAGTGCTTAAGACCTATTTGTCCATGGTTACGGCTTCCCAAGCATTGAGAAAGTGGGACAATCTGGCCCCAAATGGGACAGAAATGACAGGAAGATCGCCAGTAACTTGACTGCTGTCCTCAAGGTGGAAGTCAAAAGGGTTGCTTACCAAAGGATAACTAAGGACAAGTTGGCTGGTTGGAGTTGGAGCCAGAGGGTCTCTTCCTCTGATTTACGTCTCCTCTTTGGAAAGACATGTTGCCTAGAAGTGTAAGTAGGTTGCCTGTAGTACTGTTGTAATACTGCTTGCCTGTATTACCGTTGATACTGCTATGATTCCTGGGCCCTGTCCTGCCACTCTTGCAGGCTGGTGTATAGACTCCTAACAAACAGAGTGTAGCACGGGAGTCCTTAAATGAGTGTAAAATCTCTTCAGTTTTTTCAAAGAACAGAAACTGACCATCCAAAGGGATGCTGGATGTTAGGGGCTATACTGGAATTTTTGTGACCAAGAGGCTCTTCTAGTTGTTATTGCAGATGCTGTACCCTAGAAGAAGCATCTGCTGTGTCAAGCACCAATGGATCATTGATGTGACTGCTAGAGGACCTTCTGCCAGAAAAGCCTTAAACTCTTCCTTTGCATCTTCAGGGAGTTTTTCAGTGAATTTAGATGTGACTCAGTTTACAAAGTCATTCTTTGATAAAAGAACCTGCTGATTAGCTATGTATGTCTGGAGAGACAAGGCAGAATAAATCTTTCTCCACAGCAGATTCAAAACACAGAGGATCCCCCTCTGGGCAAAACCTTAAAGTTACAGAAAACAGGAATAAACCTCCCTCTTAACACAGGGAAAATTCACATAAAACTAAAGATAAACTAATCCGCCTTGCCTGGCTTAACTATACTGGTTGCAATATTGGAGACTTGGATTAGGATGGGTTGGAGAAGATGGATTACTGTCTGACCTCTCTCAGTCCCAAGAGAGAACAACCACTGTAAACAAAGAGCACAAAACAAAAGCCTTCCCCCCGCCCCGCCCTCAGCAAGATTTGAAAATATCTTGTCCCCTTATTGGTCGTTTGGGTCAAGTGCCAGCCAGGTTAGCTCAGCTTCTTAACCCTTTACAGGTAACAGGATGTTGCCTCTGGCCGGGAGGGATTTTATAGCACTGTATACAGAAAGGTGGTTACTCTTCCCTTTGTATTTATGACAACATTGTAGTTAGTACTGTAAACGCCCCACAAGATGTTGAGTGGACTATGTCGACACTCAGTGCCAGGATGGACTTCAACACTGGTGCCAAAGCATGAAGTATCATTCGTACCCTGTCAGAGAAATGCCCTGGTACCAAAGCTGTGGGTGCTAAAAGAGACACCATTGTTGAAGTTGAGGCATAACTGAGTACTGACATGGGAGAGTGTCAGTGCGAAAGGCGGTACTGAAGTCACATCTTTTGTAGGCTTCCTAGCTGGTACCAACACCAGCACAGATGGTAGCCTGTGCACTGAAGCAACAGATCCAAATGAGCCAGCAACAGTAGGGGCATCTCCACTACAAAGGACTCGTGTACCACAAGAAAGCCTGGCTCGGAGAAGCAAAGCAAATCAGTTGCTGCCTGATAAGCCTGTGAACTTGTTGGTCCTGACAGCTTCAGTGCTGCAGTTGTGTGCATTGGTTCCGGACTCAATGGCCATTCCACAGCTGGTACTGGACTTGACAGTAAGGTACTGATATGTTCTTGCTGTGATACTGGGGAGATATAGGTTAAGGGCCCAGCTCCACCCTGAGTACCTGAGGAATCCTGGTGATGTTTCAAGCTCTTCTTTGAGAAAGAGGAGAAAGTCTCTCCTCAATCTGGAATAGTTTTGGTTTGTTTCATGAGTCCTCGTTCATGGAGGCCCCAGGGAGGAAGATCAGCCTTTTTCTCCAAGTAAAGTCTTAGTCATGAGGCCTGTCAGAAACCACTGTAACCTCAGCAGCTGCATGAGGGGCCAGGCAATGCAACGAAGGTCCTGGGGCTGAAATGGGCCTCATCACCCTCTGCAAGAGGTGCTATTTAAGATTCAGATATCTGGCTATCTGCGCTCTTTTACTGAAAGAATGGCAAATACTGCACCTCTCTTTACTGTGTCCCTTGTCTAGACACAAAAGGCAGTGCATTTGGGGGTCATTATTTGGGATAGCTACCCCATATGACAGGCAGTGCTTAAAGCCTGGTGAGAACATACCACAGGGCTTCATATGAAATGAACTAACCACTGGGTACTAACTGCTAATTACTAGCTACTCACAAAAAAGGCAGGGAGAAAACTCATTGATGCAGTAACCGCAAGGTAAACCTCACACTGAACTTCGACTCAGGCCACAGGTGTTGAGAAGGAACTGAGGAGGATTGGGCCAGCGCTGCCCTTATGTAGTCTTGGGAGAGGCCACGAGGAAGTGCAGGGCGCATGTGTCACCCTGATGGGTTCTACTACAGAAAGCCCGCTGGCTGACTGGAATACACGTTTGTAACCACTCAAGGAACTCTCAGATCCCAAGCTAATGCTCTAACCATTAGACCACCCAACCTCACTCTGGATCAAATGTTCTTTGTATCCCAATACATTTCCACAAGACTGAAACAGCCAAATGCTGATGCGTCTGCTGAAAGGTATAAAGAGCGGGCAATGGTATTCCCTCTTCAAAGTGTAACCTCCATATCTGTAAGTGAGGAGAACTGTTTGGTGATCAGCTTGTGCTGCTCTCCCTTTGTACCGTCATGGTGGCTAAGATCCTCTTGGTTGCTCATGCTGTCTATTTCTGAGGTTAAACACTGCAAGAGGAAAGACCATGCGTTTTCAATGGAGGATTCACACATCTGAAAATTGCTCCCTCCAGAGGTCCATCAGAACCAAAATTTGGTAAGCTTCAGGTCATAGTGTAAAACTTAGGGGCTAGGACAAGTTCTTGATTGAGCCGGTGAGACGCCTGTTACTGTATTTTTCTTTTGTGGGACTATTTCTTTGTAAAGGGCAGTGATATAAGGGGCCCAGGTGCTGAGGCTATGGGCATCATTAAAATTTCTAAATAAATAACAATCCCCAGGCTTAGCCAGTAGACCCCACCACCAGAGGAGCATCAGGGTGGTACCTTTGCAGCCACCTGCTCTTACTGCTCTCATGGCTGCCCAATGATTGAGCCTGACTTCACCAATTGTTTCTGACTCTTTGTGGCCAAACTATCATCTCCTTCCCTGATCCTTGTCTTCCCCCTCTTTCTCCTATTCTCTTCCTTCACTCCTCATCTCCAATTTCTTGTGCTTGCCTCAAATTCACCACCTGTTATTCCACTCCACTTCTGCAGTCATCTTCTCTTCTCATCCCCAATATCCCTCCTAGTCATCTTTTAAATCTTTTAACAAATACATTTATATAAGCCCTGATCCAGCAAAGCATTTAAAGCATGTGCTTAACTTTAAGCACGTGAGCAGTTCTTGTGAAGTCAACAGGACTATATATGTGCTTAAAGTTAAGCATGTATTTAAGTGTTTTCCTGGATCAGGGCCATAATCATTTTCTAAACACAACCAAACTACGAACCAGCAAAAGACGTACATAGCAACCCAGAGCAACCACAAAATTACGAATTATTGTAACCTTCAGCCAACCTTCCCTCAATGTCCCTCCTTCTGTGTGTCGTCATCACTAATAGTGTTATGGCTACACTTAGACACTATCCTGCAAACACTACTGGAAGAAGTACTTACAACCATGAATAGTCCTGTTGATGCTCATGATAATAAGTACCACATGTGGT